TGGTAATTTTTTTATCTTCAACTTCTGCAAATATCCTTGGAAGTTTTGGCCTGAATTTCTCAAATTTTCCTTCATGAAATGCTAGTAACACAAAGACATCTTCTTCTCCATGATCCTTATTTCCTCCCTTAAGTTTAGCTGACATATGTTTTCCAAACTGACCAACTCCAGTATAGAAATGAACTGCATTTTTTCCTCTTTCTATTTTAATTGGTAGCAATGGATGGTCAGCTACGGCGTGGCAAATAGAATCCTTTAGTTCTGCATGATCTTTTTCTAGCTTCTGTATAAGTGCTTTTGTCATTTCATTTTCATTTTTTAATTTTTCTTCCATTTCTTCTTTTTTTCTTGTGCATTTTTCTTCCATGCCTTTCTTTATTGTCTCATTTTCTTGTTTCACTTTTACATTTTTTTCTTCAATTTCTTTTTTTATTTTCTCAATTTCTTGTTTATTTTTTTCTTCCATTTCTTTCTTTATTTTCTCAATCTCTTGTTTCATTCTTGCATTTTTTTTCTTCCGTTTCTTTTTCTATTTTCTCAATTTCTTGTTTATTTTTTGCATTTTTTTCTTCCATTTCTTCTTTCATTTGCTCATTTTCTTTCTTCAATTGTCCACAAGTTATAGCTAATAGTGTCATGTGTTTAGTATCAGCAGTGTGTACATGTACATCTTTACGTAATGGCTTATCATTACAACCAGCCCAACTAAACGCACAATCTACTGGCTCTAATGGACACTCATTGATATGAGCAGTGAGACTACCTCGTGGCATATTAGTAGACACACATTTATTAGGACAAGTAACAGGATACTGCCTGCATTCCTCATAATGATCCTTTGTAATAGAGAGGAATGTACCTTCTTCTCCACGGTATTGACACTGAAATGGACGTTGATCACATTCTCTATCTTCATGATCCTTAAGATATCTACGTTGCTTTCTCTCTAAACATTTCTCATATCGACACTTTACTTCTTCATATTGACATTCTCCTTCTATTTTCTCTTTATTACGATGAGTAGACATATTCTTCAATTCTCCTTTCCACTGACATCCTTTCTCCTTATTACTACAGTAGACCTCCAATCCATTGATCCTACGTGAACACTTCTTATCGACAAATGATAGGTAGTCCTTCTCTTTACACATAGGACAGGATCCATTACTAGCTTTTATTCTCTCAATACAAGACCCACAGAAATTATGTCCACAGCAGCTCACAATATGAGGATCTGTCAAAATATTAAGACAAATTGGACAATCTATTTCCATATTCTCGGGCACTTCTTTAACGAAAGAAAGTTCTTTACTGAATTGAGCCATTGCTACCAGCCACTCCCTTGATCTTGTGTACAGTTACTGTATCCAATGGTAACAGCTATTGTATAATGTTACTCATTGATATTAAAATAAATTCATTTACCCTACTAGTCTATACCTCATTATACTGAGTCCTGACACACCCATTGTTATTTGATATCTCCTTATTATTGTTACATACACCAGTGTAGACAATGTCTCATTTCTATCATATATGAGTAACATTTTTATTACTCTACTATGACCAGTAGCTTGTGATTTAAGTTCATAATCACACACCCATTGATGTTTGATATCTTTACTATACAAAATAGCAGTCAGTATAAACAGCATTCTCTTTTAATAATTGACATATCTCCTATTTTATATATTACCATTAACCAATCTGTTTTTGTTATACTCTATTATACTACATGTATACCAGTACCACATTGCTCTACCCTATTGCATGTATAATATGTATAATTACATGTACATGTATATTCTATTACTTAGTATTTATTTTTATTTTTTAAGGTGATGGTACATTGAGGTTATGGGATATCTATCAATCACTGAACACTGGTACTGTTAATGATGGAGGGAATGAGGTGCTCTCTTGCAGCTGGAATAAATATGAACAAGTAACTATTAATAATTGATTGTTTATTAGCACTATAATTATTGTTGGAATCAGCTCAATTCTTTGCCATACTACTTCCCTCCACGTCACCTGTACTGTCTGCACAGTGTCTGTGTCACTAGTGACATTGACTACATATCCATCAGCATCAGATGAATCAAGTGCCCAGTCCAAATTTGCTTATTTATTTTTTTAAATTTTTTTAAATTTTTGATGCTTTTGATAGCTTGCTTTATTGAGTTGATTCCAATCACAAAACCTGAATTTATAAGCATTCAAAGAAATATTCACAATTTAACTAAAAACCTTTTGTTTTAGAATTTGTTATGCTCAGGTGGTACAGACAACACAATAAAGTAAGTACCAGTATTGATTTTGCAGTACCATATAGCAGGAGATTTTGGAGAGAATTTGATTTGGCAAATTTGGCATTTTGATAGCCATTTGCCAAAATAAGAATCTGCCATTTTGAGCCATTATGCGCATGTTTAATGGCACATGACCACAAATTTTCCAAATTAAAATTTTCCAATCACCAAAATTTAGTAATTCGCCAAATTAACTCCCTCCAAAATTTCCTGCTATATTGTATATAATTATTGATCAAAAATTATTATTACTATTATTTATTATTATTGTTGTTGCTTTATTATTATTAGATTGTGGGATATAAAACAGTTTACTGTGCCATTATTGCTAATGACTGGTCACTCACAATCAGTTAGACAAATCAAATTTGATCCACACTCCGAGTTACCTAGCATCATGTTCCTATGACTTCACTGTCAGGTATATTAACACTTATTGTATTAATAGGACATTATTATTATTAATATTGTATTAATATTGTATTAATTCATCTGATATGGAGGTTAACAAATGTTGTGTATTTTTTAAGTTTAAGAATTTAAAAAGTGCTAAAATTAATTTATTTAATATGGTCAAGACTCAAAATAAAAGAAATTTGCTATTCTCCAAAACAAAAAACACCATATAAGATGTATATGTAATAATTACAGTGTTCTTCTGTCTTTCAATAGACTATGGGATACAGCTAATCCATTGCATCCTCTCATACAGACAATCTCCCATCATAATGAGTTCACTTATTCTGTTGATTTCAGTGTTCACCAGAAAGGACTGGTAAGTCTTCTCACTCCTTCTCACCTCCACCCCTGTCTATATTTATGTATTGGAACTAATTCCAATTAAAGTTAGACTTTTATGAATTTTTAAAGTTACTCAAAAATAAGGCCAAAGTCCCTGTACAGTACAGGTTCATTGGCCAATATGCTTTCAAAAATTACAGGGAAAGAATTCTTTATTTTTATATTTTTTTTATATACATATACATGTTTTTGTGTTATGTATAGAAAGTTTGAGCTGATTTTGATCAATTTTAGATTTTTTTATAAATTTTTTAAACTGCTCCAAAATTGAGCCAAAGTCCCTGTACTATAGTATAGAGTCATTGGCCAAATTTTGCCAAAAATGAAAAGGAGAGGATTTTTTATTTTTATAATTTTTTTCTTATACATATGCATGCTCTTATGTTATGTAGAAAGTTTGAGCTGATTCCAATCAAAATTGGATTTATTATGAATTTTTTAAGGGACATGTTCACGGAAATAGATGCACACGTTACTGTAGAGGAAGTAAACATTAAATTGGGCGTGCAACACATCATTAATTAATAGTTATGACACGTGTTTAGACACGTGTAGAGAGTAGAGACAGAGCAATCAGGCGTAGAACCAGGAATAGGCATCTGTAGTACACTTCTCTTGACCAGAATCAGCTCTTTTGCTACCCCAAGATACTCTTTTTAGTGAAGAAACACCAGGAATATTTACAAGTAGCCACTCGAGTAGCCATTTTGCCTTAATTTTTAGGGACGCGACCGTACGTTATGAATAGTTATCAACACTACACGTCATCATTAATGATGTCATCTTGAAAAACGGGCCAGTTTTTCAAGATGATGTGCTTCCGTGAATGTGTCCCTTTAAATTTGCTCCAAAATTGGGTTAGAGTCCCTGTATATAGTACAGGGTCATTGGCCAAATCTTGCCAAAAATGACTAGATGAAACATCTCCATTTTTATAATTTTTTCTGATGCATATACATGTTCTTATGTTGTGTAGCAAGTTTGGCTAATTCCAATCAAAATTAGATTTTTCACGAATTTTTTAAGTTGCTCAAAAATCGGGTCAAAGTTCCTGTACTATAGTACAGGGTCATTGGCCAGATTTTGCCAAAAATGACTCGATGCAAAATCTTCTTTTTTATAATTTTTCCTGATACATATACATGTTTTTATGCTGCGTAGCAAGTTTGAGCTGATTCTGATCAAAATTGGATTTTTTATGAATTTTTAAATTTTCTCCAAAACTGGGTTAAAGTCCCTGTACTATAGTACAGGGTCGTTGGCCAAATTTTTTCAAAAATGACAAAAAAAGAATTCTTCATTTTTATGATTTTTCCTGATACATATGTGACCATAATTAACAAAAGGTACCTTATGGCGGATTTTAAAATTCATCAATATATTGAAAAATATCAACCTGTGAGTGCTCTGTTAGACAATTACTGTTTGTAGAAGTTACATAATAACTTTTTGCATCCTTTGGGGTAATTTCATGACAAATGAATCTCAGGAAGTTGGATTTTTATTGCTTCAAAAACAAATTTTACTACCCGCCATAAGGTACCTTTTGTCAATTATGGTTACATATACATGTTTTTATGCTGCGTAGCAAGTTTGAACTGATTTTGATCAAATTTGGATTTTTTATGAATTTTTAAAGTTGCATAAAAATTTGTCCAAAGACTCCACAGGATATCTCCTTTATTACATATAAATGTTTGTATTTTATGTAGAAAGTTGCAATAAAATACCATAATTCATGTTCCTAATATTGTTTCCTTGACTACCAAACACTGTACCCAATAATTGATGGGTGTGTCAGTTTGTGTGTGGGTGTTTTTGGGTGTGTCTATTCTGATGTAATGTATACTTGTATTCATTATTCAAAATTGCTGAGAATTCATTTATGATTATACTGATGTTGCTGCAGTCCTCAACAAACATTTTACGTTGACAAAAAAATTGCATCACTTAATTTTTAATTAAATTTTTTTATTATTCACTATGACATGTTTTACTCCTCTCCCTCCCTCCCTCTCTCTCTCTCTCCCTCCTCTCATTACAGATTGCTGATTGCTCTTGGGACAAAACAATTAAACTATACACTCCATCATTCGTAACTCCTCCTCCTCCTATTTCATGACATTACATAATTTCTGTACAGTGTGAGTGTGTCTATTTTTATATAATTTTGTGTTATGTACATGTATGTATGTATATTCATCATAACCTTTTATGCTATCATGTTCCTGTATATTTTATATAAGCCACTATACACTGCAATATCTTACGTTTGTGTTTTACAGGCACTTTCAGATATAATGCATTTGATTGCAAATTGGTTCTACCTTATAGCCACTATTATTTGCTAGTACTAATTTTTCTTTAAAATTGCAAAAATTAGTACATGCATTTATTGTTATCAATTTAAAAAAAGAGCAAAATTACAATAATCAGTACTCGCTAAATACCAAATTGCAAATATTTGTCTACTTAAAAATAAGTTGCTTTAAGATATTGTGTGTGTGTGATGTATTAAACTTCACTGATTGAATATCATTTTTTAAAAGATTTTAAAATTGAACTTTATTTTAATTAAATTTGGGTGAGCCTTTTGTAATACAAAAGTAGAATTTGAATTACAAACAATAATAATAATAATAATAATAATAATAATAATAATAATAATAATAATAATAATAATAATAATAATAATAATAATATTTTAATAATAATATGAGGGGAATTAATGAATAGTTTTAGGGTGTTCGTATTTTTGTAGCTTTTTATTATAAGTTATTTCTCAAAAGAGCTGGTTTTCCTTATTGCATTCAAAGTAGCTGCTCAGCGTCTGTGTCCTTTAGGCAAACCATACAGACCATTTAATTTAGGGTGTGGCCTAGTCTCCATACTATGAACTCGTATTCTTGGTTCTTCACCTTTTGATGGTGATATGCAAGTACAAGTACCCAGTATAACGGGACGTGATTCCAGTGAATGTGGTACCAGGGGAACTTCCATTGGTAGAGATTGTGCACGATTCTTGTATCTTGTTGTTTTATCAGGTGATGTTGGAGGGGTCCTTTCACTCTGAATATCAGTGCCTTTTTCCCTCTCATGCAACATACTCATGTTCCAGAATGATTTAGAAGCTGCTCTTGATGATGCTGATCTCAGATCCGCAGTATGGCTTCTCTCTTCTCTTCCCTTTCTATCTCCATGGTCTTGTATTAAAGTAAGCATCCCGCCATCTTCTTTTACTCTCTGTCCTCCTCCCTCATTTGATCCATTGCTTGCTCCTTTTCCAGTTTTATTGTTAGCAGTTCTATGCTGTGCAATGGAGGAATAGGGTCTTGTTGGTTTGCTTATTTTTGGTAGGCTAGCTGTTTGATCTGTTCCTATGACTCTCTCCTCCTCCTCCTCCTCCTCCTGGTTTAAATATGAGATCTACATGTACATGTAAAGTTTAACATACAGCACTTAAGACTTTGTCTCTGTGACCATCCATGCCTCCAAACATGGTAACAGAAATGGCTGTCTTATATTCCAGAGCCTCAGATGATCTGTGGGAGAGAGAGAAGGAAGGAGTGAAAAAGACAACAATATAAAGTTTTTCCTTACACAAGTAAAGCATATAATGCACATACAGTATATCCACTTTTCATTCTCTATAGTGTACACCTCCATTTAACAGACAGCACCTAGTGTACCAATTACATTCCTTACTGTATAAAATAACCTCCACACAAATGACACCTCTGTATAACAGAGACACTTTCTTGTACCAAAGTGTCCATTATATAGAGGCTACACTGTACATGTACAGTACATAAATAAAGTTCATTCCCCCATTCACATAATGTATCAAATTCACATGTACATAAACATGTATTCATACCTTTAAAAAAGGTTATTATCTTTTGGATGAATCTGTAACTCATTCACAGCATTACCATGACCTGTAAATGTCTAAACAACAACAAACAAATATTATAAACAAACAACAAACAAATTACTTACAATAATGCACTGCATTGTATCTGTACTAAAAATAAAACATATAATTTAAATGTATCATAATAATGTTACCTTAATATTCTAATTATTCCTTTGACTCCGCCCACTGCTAATAACACCTCTCCGCTGTCGCTCAGGCTCCATGTACATGCATAGAAATTTTCTTCCGCCTAAAAATAAAGATCATAAAGTACATGAACATAAGTACATCAATATGTATCAGAAAAAGTAATCAAAAATTGGGGGTGATTTCGGAGCCATTTTATGGGCTATAGCCTTGGGTACTTTTCAAAAATTGACCAATTTCTTAAAATAGCCAAAACTCAAAAAATATTTGTCGGAATCAGTTAAACTTTCTACACAGCATAAGAACATAAATATGAATCAGAAAATGTAATAAAAACTTGGGATGATTTTGGAGCCATTTTTTGGAAAAAAACCATGGGCTATAGCCTTGTGTAGTTTTCAAAAATTCAAAAATTGGCCGATTTCTTAAAATGGCCACAACTCAAAAAATATTTGTCGGAATCAACTCAAACTTTCTACACAGCATAAGGACATCAATATGTATCAGAAAATGTAATAAAAATTTGGAGTGATTTCGGAGCCATTTTTTGCAAAAAAAACCATGGGGTTATAAATTACTAACTAAATTATCTATTTATTTAATTATTATAAATTTATTACTATAATTTGTCTGTACGTCTATCTCTGTGTCTCTCTTACTATTTCAAAGAAAATTTTATTAAAAAAAAAAAAATGGGGTATAGACTATGGTATTTTTCAAAAATTGGCTGATTTCTTAAAATGGCCATAACTCAAAAAATATTTGTCAGAATCAACTCAAACTTTCTACACAGCATAAGGACATCAATATGTATCAGAAAATGTAATAAAAATTTTGGGTGATTTTGGAGCCATTTAAAAAAAACCATGGGCTACACATTACAATTACTGTTACAAAGTCCCCTTTGCTATTGACCACACCCATTACTTACGTCAGCATCAGTATAACACTGAATAGGTACTATCTGATTATCAGGTACACACTGATAGACAGTAACCTAATGAATGAATACAGAGTCAATTAATAAACACATAAACAATGTACATGTACATGAAGATCATTATAACCTCCTTTTTCAAAATTTGCACACAAAAGCTTATATACCAAACAAAATATACATGTACATGTACTGTGCTAAACATGTATTTACATGTATGTCCCATGTACATGTACTGTACATGTATTTCCCCAACCATTATTTCCATTGGCCCCTGGATCTAACGATCCTACATCAACTATTGGAGTGCAATTAATTAATTAATAGTGGGTGTTGTTAGCTCAATTATTCAACAACCCACCCACCCTGTTGGTTCCAACTGTGGCAAATATTCTTTTCTCAGGAAGGAAAGGATTGAACTGTACCCCAAACAAAGGCTGAGAGTGTCCCTCCTACAATAAATAAAATAAATTAAATAAAACTAAGAGGCACACCTTTAAATATCCCACTAGCTTGTAATTTACCATTGTTACACGTGATTCAAGAATACGGAAATCTGTATACATCCGTATACTACAAACACGTGGATGATAAAATGGCTTCTCAGTACAATCCCTACTTCATCAATTGACGGATATTCTGTGCTCTTCTCTCCGTTTTCTCCTAATCTGTTGGGATTTGTGGGTGGTAGTAATTATGGGATATCGGGAAAAGGAGGCCTCATTATCATAGAACACGGACCAACTGGATATAAGGAGATTAGGAGGTAATGGGAGGATTATCGTATCACGTGATACTCACGTGATTATAGGTATGGATGGAAGGACGTGCTGTACAATGTGACGTGGAGTGAGATTGATGAGTCAGTGGTCGTTGTTGCTAGTGGTGATGGAAATATTGTCATTTTTAACATCACACAAGATGTAAGGAGAGAGATAGGGATTGAGGGTATGGGTTTTGTTTTGCTTGTAAATTTTTTAAAAATAAATTTCACCTACCAGAGCCATAATGCAACTTATATTTCACTAATTAGCATAAAATTGCTAAGTTTTTTTTCCACCACCAAGCAATACCTCTACATGTATAACTAATAATTATTGATTATTATTAATTATTTAGGTTCCTGTTGCTGTAATGTCTGGACATTTAGGAGAGGTACATTAGAGAGACAGAGAATCATGTACAGTAATGATAATATCATAATAGTAATATGTGTGATTAAACTAAAATTTTGTTACCACCATTGTGTACTCAATACTCATGCTCAATGATATGCAACCTCAAATTTGCCAAATAAAAACTTGCATGTGTCACACTAAATATTACCCCACTCCAAATTACCCTCCATATGAATACAAGAGTCCTCTGGCTTGTATTACATGTACATGTACATTCAGCATGCTTTTGTTAATAGTTTAGTATGTTATTTCTCTCCCTTCCTCCCTCCCTCAGGTCAGCAGTGTTGAGTGGAGTCTCTTAAGGAGAGAGCAGCACCTCATCAGTTCCTCTTGGGACAAGACAATTAAACTAGTAAGATACATCCTCCCTCTTCTTCCTTTTATAGTAGCCTTGGTTGGAATATTTTAATTCGATAAGTTGCTGTTGATTAAATGTAGCATTGATCTACATGTACATATAGCTTTAAAACATTTAAAACATTATGCTTGAACAAGTTACAAAATAAAATGTGCCTTACATTTTTCATTGTCCATATGATCCATAGGTTCCTTTAGTTACAAATTTTTGAGTTTCATGTATACATGCACATGCGTGTGTATTTTTATAAGCCGCTTTCAAATTTGCCCAAAATCATTCTCATTTTCTGTGATCTTGTCATCTTTTTTTCACAGTGGGATCCTGCTACTGGTACTTGTCTAAATACACTGTCTGGTCATACTGGTATAGTTTACTCCACTAACTGGTCTCCTCACATACCAAACACTGTAGCATCAGTATCAGGTGATTACATGTAATGATAACTGTGTTAGTGAATGCTAGAAAATAAAATTCACCATTTTGTTGTTTGTCCATTCTCAATGACGCGTGTCGCTACAAAATTTACCAGAAACTCTCACAAACATTTTAATTTTGTTAAACCGTTAATTTGTAAGTTAAAGTAACACAAATAAGAGCTAATAATCACTTTGTGTAAATTGTAACAGACTCAATTGTATACGGGTATAGGCTATCAAGTTTTCTTGTAATTACTCCCCGCGGTAGGGTATCCTCACAGCTGATGAAATCAAGAGTATCATCATCTAATTGTTCATAAGTAGTTTCAGTGTCATCTGTTAATGGAACATCTGTTAATACTTTTACAGCTCTTTCTAGTCTTGTGGGCGACACTACAGCTTTGTATGTAAGCTTTCCAAATATGTTAGGTACTTTAGGTAAGAATTCATCAAATTTTCCTTCATGAATTGCAAATAATATGAAGCATTGTTCATTTAAAATATTTGACATCATTCTAGCTGACATGTGCCAACCACATGCACCAGTATAAAAATGAACTGCTTCACTTCCTTCGGTAATATCAACTGGTAATAATGGATATGGATCATCAGCTATGGCACTGTGAATGTTGAAAATTTCAGACTTTAACTTTTGATTTTTGTCTCTCATTTCTCTTTTTAATTGTTCATTTTCTTGTTTTATTTGTTCATTTTCTTTCTTCAGTTGTCCACAAGCTACAGCTAATAGTGTCATGTGTTTAGTATCAGCAGTGTGTACATGTACATCTTTACGTAATGGCTTATCATTGCAACCAGCCCAACTAAACACACAATCTACTGGCTCTAATGGACACTCATTGATATGAGCAGTGAGACTACCTCGTGGCATTTTAGTAGATACACATTTATTGGGACAAGGAACAGGATATCGCCTGCATTCCTCATAATGATCCTTTGTAATAGAGAGGAATGTACCTTTACTCCTGCAGTATTGGCAATGAAATGGATGGTGAGGACATTCTCTATCTTCATGATACTTAACATATCCACGTTGCTTTCTCTCTCGGCATTTCACATATCGACACTTTACTTCTTCATATTGACATTCTCCTTCTCTCTTCTCTTTATTAAGATGAGTAGACATATTCTTCAATTCTCCTTTCCATTGACATCCTTTATCCTTATTACTGCAGTAGACCTCCTATCCATTGATAATACGTGAACACTTCTTATCAACAAATGATTGATAGTCCTTCTCTTTACACATAGGACAGAATCCATTACTAGCTTTTACTCTCTCAATACAAGACCCACAGAAATTTTTTCCACAGCATGTGACCTGATGAGGATCTGTCAATATATTAAGAAAAACTGGACACTCTATTTCTACATGCTCTGGCAATTCCATGATAACAGCCTGGTTTATGATCTGACAGCCTGCGACAGGCATCAGGCCATGCCTGACAGTTAATATTGCATTTATTTTGACATTATTTTGTTGAAGTGTAGATTCAGGCCATAAAAACTAGATTCAATCACAGCCTCATGGCAAACCTAGACTAATTTAATTATTATGTATAGTCTTGATGCTACAAGTTAAAATCATTATTATTTTGTGTGAATTGTGACAGATTAGATCTCATACCATTCGTATGCTGGATTACTGGTGCATGTGCATTAGAAACATGCATGTATGTGCCTAATTTAATTTTATTATAGATCTACTGTTGGTAGACTAGATAGTACATCTACCATCAGCACAGTTATACTTAACTAGCTACATGTATGTGCTGAAATTACTGATGCTGTTATGAAGTAATACTTTGTATCTTTGGTGTTCATAGTGTCTCTTAATGATATGTCCTTATCTTGATAGATTTTAGGAAGCTTCTAGATAAGTTTTTCAAATATTTTTTCATTTTTTGAAGCCAGACTAACCAGGGTTAGAGAGGTTTTACTGTAGTTTTGTTGAGTTGTTATAATACATGTACACATTAAAAATTAAGAAATTAATTTAAACACAATGCAGCAGTATTAACTATGCTTAATTATGTGATAGCCTAAATTTGAGTTGGCAGTAACAAAACATTAATGGTAGAAGTAGCAAAGGAAGAGAAAGGAGAAGTCAGTACTCAGCTGGATAAATAAATATAGGAAGATGAGGAGGGAAGGATTGAGTCATAGCTGCTAAAGTATGCACACTATCACTCTGTATAAATTTTAATAGACATAATTCTACAAGGAAATATTTGACTTCTACCTAATTTTATTTTCAGTACTCCTTCTTCCAGAGTATCCTTATCATCGCACTTTTTGATATCATTAAGAGTGTCATGAGGTAATTGTCTATAAAATGCTGTAGTGTCTCTTATTAATGGTAATTTTTTATCTTCAACTTCTGCAAATATCCTCGGAATTTTTGGCCTGAATTTTTCAAATTTTCCTTCATGAAATGCTAGTAACACAAAGACATCTTCTTCTCCATGATCCTTATTTCCTCCCTTAAGTTTAGCTGACATATGTTTTCCAAACTCACCAACCCCAGTATAGAAATGAACCGCATTATTTCCTCTTTGTATTTTAATTGGTACATGTAGCAATGGATGGTCAGCTACGGCGTGGCAAATAGAATCCTTTAGTTCTGCATGATCTTTTTCTAGCTTCTGTATAAGTGCTTTTGTCATTTCATTTTCATTTTTTATTTTTTCTTCCATTTCTTCTTTTTTTCTTGTGCATTTTTCTTCCATGCCTTTCTTTATTGTCTCATTTTCTTGTCTCACTTTTGCATTTTTTTCTTCAATTTCTTTTTTTATTTTCTCAATTTCTTGTTTATTTCTTTCTTCCATTTCTTTCTTTATTTTCTCAATTTCTTGTTTCATTCTTGCATTTTTTTCTTCCGTTTCTTTTTCTATTTTCTCAATTTCTTGTTTATTTTTTGCATTTTTTTCTTCCATTTCTTCTTTCATTTGCTCATTTTCTTTCTTCAATTGTCCACAAGCTACAGCTAATAGTGTCATGTGTTTAGTATCAGCAGTGTGTACATGTACATCTTTACGTAATGGCTTATCATTACAACCAGCCCAACTAAACACACAATCTACTGGCTCTAATGGACACTCATTGATATGAGCAGTGAGACTACCTCGTGGCATATTAGTAGACACACATTTATTGGGACAAGTAACAGGAAACTGCCTGCATTCCTCATAATGATCCTTTGTAATAGAGAGGAATGTACCTCCTTCCCCACAGTATTGGCATTTAAATGGACGATGATCACATTCATCATCTTCATGATCCTTAAGATATCTACGTTGCTTTCTCTCTAAACATTTCTCATATCGACACTTTACTTCTTCATATTGACATTCTCCTTCTCTCTTCTCTTTATTAAGATGAGTAGACATATTCTTCAATTCTCCTTTCCATTCACATCCTTTCTCCTTATTACTGCAGTAGACCTCCAATCCATTGATAATGCGTGAATACTTCTTATCCACAAATGATTGATATTCCTTCTCTTTACACATAGGACAGGATCCATTACTAGCTTTTACTCTCTCAATACAAGACCCACAGAAATTATGTCCACAGCATGTGACCTGGTGAGGATCTGTCAAGATATTAAGACAAACTGGACACTCTATCTCCACATGCTCAGGCAATTCTTTAACAAATGAAAGCTCTTCTATACTGAACTGAGCCATGATTCCCAGTAATTGAGATGGAAGTAGCTTTTGGACAATCACAATACTAAAGGTGGCCCTAAGTACATGTACTGATATATGAGCTTCATGTGACCGTTTTGACAAGCAGTCAATAATTTGTGTAACATGAATTCCATATACTCCCACCCATACTACACTTCATGCTACACAAGCATGATATTGATGGTGGCTAGACTAGTGCAAGCCAATGAATACTGTATCAACGCTGTGTACTTGATTATATACAAGCTATATTTGGAACAACAGCAGTAGGTTCATTTGGAAAAGCTGGGTTCCCCCATCTATGGTTCCCCAAGAAGAAATTGGCCTCAAAATCACCCCACTTTTATATTACATTTTCTGATACATATTGTTGTACTTATGCTGTGTAGCAAGTTTGAGGTGATTCCAACTTCAATTTTTTAAGTAATGGCCATTTTAAGAAAATGCTGAAATTCTGAAAAATACCCAAGGCTATAGCCCATGGTTTTTTGAAATAATGGCCCTGAAATCACCCCAATGTTTATTACATTTTCTGATGCATATTGATGTCCTTATGCTGTGTAGAAAGTTTGAGCTGATTCCGACAAATATTTTGAGTTATTAACATTTTTCTAACAGCCAATTTTTGGAAAAAGCAAACACTGTCATGTCACTGAGATCAATCAGAAGTGATTTTGACAACTATTTTTCGAGTTATGAGCATTTTTTAAAACGGCTAATTTTTGAAAGATACTCATGGCTATATGGCCCATGGTTTTTATTACTTTTCCTAATACATATTAATGTCCTTATGCTGTGTATCTAGAAAGCTTGAGCTGATGCCGACAAATATTTTTCTTTCAAAAATTAGCCAATTTTGAAAAAGCATAGGCTAATATAGAGTATCATGTTACTGTAGATTATGCTGGCAGCTCATTGTGTAAAGGGTATAGAATGAGTTGTTTTATCTGTTGTATACAGTAAAGGGGACCCTATCCATATGACTAATCTACCGTCCGAGTGATGTGACTGAAATTGTGACAATGTACTTGTAACTTCATGTAACTGTTCTGACAAGCCTTATCAAAATATTGAGTATTTTGTTTTATAGATCACAAGATGTTGCAGGTATATGAGCTTTTAATATCAAGTGTTATTATTATTTGTGCATTTTAATAATGTGCAGCAGTATGATGACAACTTCTACTAAAAAATATCATAGGATAA